GACAATTTCCAACGTAGCTCCAAATTTTTTATAGTTGTTAGCAAACCATTCCAGCAGGGGCATGCTCTCAATCAGCTCATGTTCTTGTCCTGTCTACAAGGGTGGCCATGAAGATACAGAAAAAAATGGGATCAGGATATATCAAGACTTAGCAACCCTATCCTCCCCATCCGTTGTCATTCTCATTCTTCCTTTCATTAAGTGGGTGTACAACTTTCTATATGAATTATGGTTTCTAGTGACATAATTCTAACAGCACAGAAGTTCTATTTCAAGTAACATTCCTCCTCAGGCTCTGGTTCAGTGATGAAATGTCAACAAACACTTAGAAGTTTTTCAACTTCTGGTCCTGTTGCTGTTTCTAAAGTCCGGCTGTTGTAAAGTGTCTCCAGGCAGCACTCATTTAACAACCCAGAAGAGACACACCAGAACAGCTTTAGGAGTAGCCTTGTAAAAAAACAAAGTCCTTCAACTCCCAATTTGAGGAAGCTACTACCCTTAAGGGATCTGTGCTGGGCAGGGGACACTTGAAGCTGCAGTGATGCATTTAAACTAAACCTGCAGAAGGTGTTTCAGTGTAACAGCTGATCAAGTAAGTGAAGAAAGCACAGATTCACAGTGCAGAAGAGGCACTAGTCAGTCAAATCTTCTCTACTATTTCAAGAATGAGAATGCTTGACTACTAAAAATAATGAACCACCGTAACCATGGCATGGCCTCCTTCCTTGGAGTCAGACTGGTATGTAGCAGATAAGAGGTGATCACCTCCTGTTACCCCCCACCACCCCAAGTGCCAACAGTATGAAATTTGGTTTCCCAAGGCAGACACTCTATGCTGCCAATGCTCTAACATGGATTTATGCTTCCTCGCATGTATCAGCAAACCAGGAAAACAACCACATACCTCTTTGTCTGTGAAATGAGATTTATCCTTCTCTTGTTCTGGAGTTAGATAGAGAATTTTCTCCTCTGTAGTATTGGGGAAAAAATGTGTTAACCTGGTTCTCATATACTAACAGATATAAGTCTCACAAGGTAAGTCAGGTTAGATCAAAGGGCTTCTGAACTCCTCCTATCAACCTGCTTTTCATAAACATATTAGTCCGCATGCACTGTCTACCAGATACGCTGCTCCTACCATACGTAAACGCCAAGGACATTCAAGATAGAGTTCTTGTCCTCAGGAAATTTAACAGTCTTAAGCAGACACTTATCAGTTCAAGCAAAACAATTTATGCAGACTGAAGCCACCTCCCCCAAATCTTCACCTCAGGTTTCCAGAACACAGAGGTCACTAACAAAAAGCAATCTTATTTTGTTTTCTAGTTCTCATACCTTCTGTGCCTTGGCAATGAAGAACATATCTCATTATATCCAGATTTTCATAGACTATTAGAATCTCTACAGCTCCCATTTCTAAAGCCTTTAGTGTATCTTCAACTC